TCGCTTTCTCGTAAAGAAACGGAGGAAGGCCTCGATATTTCCATGGCCTTGCAGTTCTATGGGAGATTCAAATTCTTCCATGAGCTATTACCACTCGTCCAAAAGGCAAAGGATGCTGGAGAAGACGCCAAAATGATGACGATTCTTGCCGCAGCCAAAGGGTCTACAACCGACTTTGAGGACCTGGACGTGAAGAACAAGTATTCCCTTAGAAAATCCAGTGCACATGTTTCCACCTTCAATGATGTGATGGTCAAGGTAAGTACATGACCCAAGTCAATAACACAGTTTCGCTTATACCTCTAATTACAGGTATTCGCTGAACGACACCCCGATATCACTTTTATCCACGTGTATCCTGGCGTCGTGGATACTCCCGTTATGCGCATCAACTGGTGGATGAGCATGCTGATGGACGTCGCCAAGCCATTCATGCGCAAACCAAAAGTTGCCGGACAAATCTTACTCTACCCACTTCTCAATCCCAAGTTTGACGGAGGAGCCTACTACCTGAACGAATATGCTAACAAGCTGTCATTGAATAATACGTTCACTGACGATTTCACGAGAAAAGTATGGCAGCACGCGCTTCAAATGGCCCAAGTCCAGGAGTAGGCATTCAGGTTTGATCCTACATAATTGCCGTGATTTCAATTCCATCAAGTTTTCATGTATGTCAAGAGAGACGATGTCGTTAAAATTCATATCAATTGTCTTGAATTCAAAGTATCGATTTGACCTCTTCCTATGTGTCTCCCTGACAATCACAAGTCACAGGTGATCAACAGAAATCGACGAGTGGGTGCGTCCAGGAGGAAGGGTATGGCCGCCGAGGTATCTCTTCTCCACCAACTCCTCCATGCCTAAGGCATCACTCCGCGAGTCGGGATTAGAGAAAGGATAGGTACAGCGTCAGTCGTGTATCCATGTCGCGTAAGTCAACATCACCTAGATCAAACACAGACTATAGTGTCCGAGGGTAAGATCAGCCCAGCCATGCTCGCCACACATCAATTACTGACCTAAAGGGTAGATGAAGAAGATATCCTACTTATACAACTACGAGGAGGTCAGGTCACTTCCGGCCTCGTCCGCTGCAAATGAGCAGATTCTCCTCCCTTACCACCTCTTGAAGCTAATTGATATCCCGTGTATAGTAAGTTCAAGTCCCAAACCATTAATCATACTCTTCGAATCGACTCTACAAGCCTGTGGAGTCACTGAGTGGCTGCAGGTGGTTCTCGCCGAGTGGCTCGCTTTGACCCATTCACTCTATGGTTCCTGGCGACTCGCTCGGAAGAGCGGTGAGCATCAACATAGCAGTTTGTATGGCGAGTAGTGTTACGGGATCAACCTTGGTGTCATGTTCTGTATTGTGGTTAGTTTGTTTGCACCCTCCACTAATCCTTCCTAACCCGATGAATAGGCTCCAACCAAATCTCTTATACTGCGTACGATGCGTTTTCACCTGCGCAGCGCTTATATTCCATCCGCCCATTCCTATCATTGGACCTTTGGATCCATATATAAGCCCTTAACACCCCACGAGGTTGGGCTAACACTATCTTCGATACCTTGTCAACTCTCTCGACACATTAGTAATCTCTTGCGATATGCCCTGCGACAAGGAAGCAAAAGAATCAAATGTTAAATACTCCCCTACATATATCCCAACCGCTGTCTTCTCCAGCATCCTTTGCCTTTTGGACGAGTGGTAATAGCTCATGGAAGAATTTGAATCTCCCATAAAAGCGCAAGGCCATGGAAATATCCAGTCCCTCCTCCGTTTCTTTGCGAGAAAACAAGTTGACACCAAAACTACATACGAGGTAGTTGATCTTGTCCACTTTACCAGCGATTTCTTTTGCTGCGACGGGAATATTCTTCATGAGGGAGGCGTCGCATGAGATAAACTCGTGCTTGATAATGACGCCGTTCGCTTCGGATGGTGCAGGAGGCGCAGGTATATTGGCCAGAATTTCATGTGCAGCTGCCTTGTTGCGACCTAGGATTAGAATGTTGGCTCGCCCTTTGGTTTGTGCACCAAAGAGTTCGACCATGGCCCTACCGATGCCAGACGTTCCTCCGATGAAGACAGCAGTTGGGATAGACGTAGGGGAGTATTTAACATTTGATTCTTTTGCTTTCTTGTCGCCAGGCATATTGTAAGAGATTACTGATGAGGTGGCGAGGAGAGTTGACAAGGTATCGAAGATAGTGTTAGCCCAACCTCGTGAGGAGTTGAGGGCTTATATATGCATCTGAAAGTCCGATGATAGGAATGAGCAAATGGAATATCAGCGCTACGCGGGTGAAAGCACACCGCACGCAGTATAAGAGATTTGGCTAGAGCCTATCGAAGGGCCTCCGGGCGGTCGTGGCCGTAATCATCGGACCCGTACTGGACGCTCACCCACAGGCTGAATTACAAAGTATAAAGCTCAATTTACAACGAACAAGA